ACAGATGGGCCTGTAATTACAGCCCGTTTGAGAGCTCTTTAATGCACTGATTTGAAAGGCATTGATTTTCCTTCCTCCAGAAGGAGGATAACAAAGAGAAGGGAAAACATCTCCACCTCCCCGTGATTCCCGCTGCCTGCGTTTCCTCGGCGTGTTCCGCAGGCAAAGTGAAAACATTCGGCTCCAGCCAAGCTGGGAATGTCATTGAATGGAGTCACTGTCTCCCCCAGTCAGGAGCTGAGCTGAAGCTCAGTGTTTGCTGTGAGCAGAACATCAGTCAGTCACTAAAGAAATAAAATAAAAGGAGGAATAAAAGTTCCCGCTGCACACGGGGTCGGCGGGAGAAGCAGAAGTGGGAAGCTCAGTGCCATGGCCGGGGCTGGTGAGGAGCAGAGCTGATGGATATCTGCAGGCAGCCTGGGCTGAGGCAGCAAACACATCCATTTATTTCTATGGTAACGGGAATAACTCAGGGCTACAGTGGAACCCAAATCTCAGCTGGATTTGAGAACTCCGAGTGAGGAGCTCTCAAACTCGAGGGTTTGATTTTAAAGCAACAACCCCAGAGCTCTTCCCCTCTACCTGTGTCTTTTTTTTTTCTCCTCGAACTGGTAAAGAGAAAAAAAAAAACATCCTGTTTAAAATCCTGAGAGAAACCCACGGAACAACCTTCAGGCAAAGGTTGGAGCTGAGTTTTGGGAGCCACAGCTTGGCTTGTTGTGCTGGGATGGACATCTTCACAAGGCCATCCTGCACTTTGGGAAGGCTCGTGGGAATGAGGAATGGACACGTCTCCCAGAGCCATCCATTTAACCAGGAACACAATTCCCTCTTTGTCAATGCCTCGGACTCCCAATTTTAAAAATAAAGCTTCTCCTTCACCGCTTGGGAAGATTTGGAAGCACCAAGGACTCAGTTTCTAGCCTGGCAAAGATATGCAGATTTGCCTGGTTTCCAACACTGATTTCCTTGGGTTTGATCCTATTCCTCTTGTGCTTGTGAAAAATTCTGGGTCTAATCCTTTGCACACAACCAGTTTTTAGAGCAATGGCCTCAGAAACATCCTCTGCTCCTTCTCAGTTTCTCTGTTCTTCTGAGGTTAAAAGGTATCTTGATTGTGCTGCTCCAGCCCCTCTAATCAGAGGAAATCCAGCTCAAGGACCTTGGATTTCAACACCTCCCTCTAGTCCAAGCCAGGCTTGGCCCCAGCTCTCTCTCACACTCCTGATTGCTCAGCAGCACTCGGTCCCTGTTCCTTGCTGCCAAGTTCACCAGGAGAGGCTGCTGACACAAGTTCCCCAGGAGTTCTTCCTTCTAAAAATATGGATCACAGCTCCTCCTTTCTGCTTCAGCTGCATTTGGACGAAGCAGTTTCCACGAGGCAGGAGGAGTTTCCCAAGGATCCTGTCCCCACAGCTCCCTGGGAGCTGGCACTTCCCCCGTGTCCTACATGCACTGGTTTAAACTGGGTTACTCCCATGACGTGTGTCAGCACTTCCATCATCATTCAACATTCCCGCGGGAAAACCTCCATCCAGGGGTCATGTTGGGACACGGAATTCCTGTGTGTGACAAGGACTGGCAAGATAAAGACACTTGTGCCCGAGTTAGGGCTGTTCCAAGGGGGTTTTCACAGGATGGGTCAGGTTGGAAGGGACATCAGTGGGTCCCTGCTCCAGCAGGATCATCCCAGAGCACATGGATTGTGTCCAGAGGGTTCTGGAATATCTCCACTGAGGAGACTCCACACTGTCTCTGGTCTCTGTTCCATGCTGGGTCACTGCAGAGGGGGGAAGTTCTTCCTCATGTCCAGGTGGAACTTCCCGGGGTTCCTCCTGTGCCATTGCTGGGCCCCTGGAGCAGATCCTGCTCCATCCTCTGCCCCCTCCCTGCAGACCCTGCTGGACATGGATGAGGGCCCCTCTCAGGGTCTCCTCTGGAGGATGAACAATCCCAGCTCCCTCAGCCTGTCCTGCTCCCAGAGATGCTCCATCCCTTCCTCATCCCTGGAGCTCCAGGAGCTCCCTGTCCCTGCCGTGTTGAGGAGCCCAGAGCTGGGCCCAGCCCTGCAGCTGTGCCTCCCCAGGGCAGGATCCCCTCCCTGACCTACTGGGAATGCTCTTCCCGTGCATCCCAGGATTCCATTGGCCTGCTGGACTGCAACAACACCCACCTAGGGTCAAACAAACCAAAATACTGCAGTTTGAGGCTTTTAGGCCAGTATTAGATCTCTCCCCTCTCCAGAACGTCAACACATAAAGGTGTTAGAAACACACAGATTATCCAGCTATAAAATATTACACGCAGCAAAGAGGACAGACCCAGGAGAGTTAAAAATAAAAGACAACTGTCACATCACTGTGGAGTGACATCCTCCACACACTGACCCTCCCCAGCACAAACCTGAGCCACCACCCTTCCCGTGCACCCCTGAAGGTCTGGGTGCCCCTCCTGCCCATCTGGGCCCACCCCTGGGGGTGCCAGGAGTTCTTTTTCCTGCCCTGTTTATCCTGTGGTTGGTGGAGCTGCTCTCTGCCCTCTGCCCAGGGCATCAGTCACTAAAAGCACTGGGACAGGGAGTGCTCTCACATTGTCTCTTTGCTCCCTTCATTCAGCCCTTGACTCGAGTGGGTAAAGAATTCAACAAGCCTTGAGGGCTTTGGAGAATCCTGCCTCTATCCCAGCACAGACCCCAGGAAAATGACTTTTGCCAAGGTGTTTATTTAGAAGAAAAATGCTGTTTTCTTCCGGGAACCTCAGGGACCACCGTGTTCTCTCAGCAACGTTTCACGTCTCATAAATGCTAATAAAATGCTAATAAAATATTGGAGGGTAATTCTTAAATTAACCCCGTTCTGATTCAAGCTGATGTTCCCAGTGGGGCTGTTGCACTCCCATTTTGCTTGGCATGTTTCCAGAGGAGGTGATCAAAATCTCCTCTTCCTTTTCTGTTTATCAGCCCCACTCTATTTTTATCGGATGACTCTCCCCATTGTCATGGCGAGAGAGGACCAGAGTCTGAGTTCAATTTAGCAATACATGACCATAAATACATCAGCAGATTGAATTACAGGCTGACATGCCAAAAGCAGCTCTCTCCTTCGCTTTTTTTTTTTTTCCCCTGCCTTCACACGTCTGACTCAATCACGGGTCTCTAATTGAAAAGCCTCGGCAGTGCATGAAGTTCATATCCATTATTAGGAAGCACGATGCCCTGGGAATGCTGATGAGTGTCTGGCAGGGCTGGGGAGCTCTGAGCTCTGTAACCACCCGGTCCTGACCCCCTCACAAGTGAGAGAGCAAAGCAGTGTAAGTGCCACTGGTACTGATGTTTACAGATGTAACAGCAGAGGGACGGTGCAGGGTGGAGAGGGGAGAGCTCTGCACGACTTTTATTCCACTTGTTGCCTTTCAAAATACTCAAAATTCCAAATATTTCACCCTCTTCCTGCCCAGCAGAACCCCAGGCAGGTTAGGAGGGAATAAATCCAACGCCGCCTGGATGTTAAGCCCTTATCTTCCCACTAGACAGTAATTTTCGGGTCTGACTCGCAACCAGCTGGAGTAAAACCTCCCCACATGGGACTGCAGCTCTCCGTGGAGAGGCAGGATGCGAGGGCGACCCTGGCACTCGGTCTCCCCTTCTGCTCAGGGACGGGAGCATCAAATAACTGTGCCGAAGATGTCAGATCCTCGTCGCTGCCCCCGGAGGAGCCCGCGGGCTCGTGTGCCGTGTTTGGGGGGAGCAGCAGCGAGTCCCCGCGCTCGGGGAGGGGGCTCGCTGAGGACCAGCCCGCGGGAGCCTTTAAAAGGACTTGTCGGGGCTGGAAGGAGCTCGGGCAGGGGAGGAAATGCGGGTCCCTCCTCTCGGAGGGCAGTGGGGGCTCCGGCCCCTCCCGGCAGCAGAGCGGAGCCCGCACCGGGCCGGGGGGGCTGCGACCCCCGGGCTGCGGGGTCGGGGCAGAGCGGCGGGAGCGGCAGAGCCAGGTAAGGGCATCCCTGGGATTGGGGAGGGGGGCACGGCCACGGGGAGAGGGGCAGAGACATAGGGAGGGGGGCAGAGACATCACAAGGGGGGCAGAGACTTGGGGAGGGGGGCACAGACATGGGGAGGGGGACACAGACATGGGGAGGGGGACACAGACATGGGGAGGGGGGCACAGACATGGAGAGGGGGGCACAGACGTGGGAAGAGGGGCACAGACATAGGGAAGGGGTACGGACATGGGGAGGGGGGTAGAAACTTGGGAAGGGGGGCACAGACACAGGGAGGGGGCAGAGACACGGGGAGGGGGCACAGACGCGCGGGGGGGATCATCGGGCAGAGCATCCCGGCGCAGCGCTCCTGCCTCCAGCTCTCTCGGCTCCCACCCTCCCGCCTGAGTTCCCGACGGGGGGGTGGCCCCAGGGCCGCTGTTCCCCCGGCCGGGAGCCCCGTCCCTCCTCCCCGGGGTGGGGGGAGCGGCCCCGTCCCCGCCCGCCGCCGCAGGGACGCGCGGGGAGCGCTCCCGGAGCGGGGCTCCAGCCGCGGCTCGGGGGGGGAGCGGGAGCATCCTGACTCCAGAGGGCAGAGGAGCCCCTGGAGCTGCAGGTAACGACCCCCGGGGGAGACGGGAGCAGCGAGCGGGGCTGGGGGAGGAGGGAGGCGGCGATGGGGGGAGAGGAGGGAGGATGGGGATGGGGCAGGCGAGGGGTCGCAAAGCGCTTTTGGGGGCTCGCTGCGGCGAATGAGGCACGGGAGCCATCGGTCCCGCTTGTGGCCACCCCGAGTTTGCCCTTCTGAGGGGGCTTTCCATGCGGAGTGCCCCCCGTCCTGGCTGGAGGGATGGTGGGGGAGATGGGGGTGACCCGTCCTGGCTGGAGGGATGACAGGGGGGGACCCGCTGGAGACGGGGGTGACCTGTCCTGGCTGGAGGGCGGAGGACGGAGGTGTTTGAAGCAGGAGCAGCCTCAACGCGGCTTGGAAGCTCCAAAGGGATGAGAAAGGCACCAGCGGGAGAGATGTGCGGGCACAGCCCGGTGTTGCCCTCCCCAAAAAGGTGCGAAAGCCCTGGATGTGCCCAGCCCGCAGAGAAGGGGCTCAGCCAGCCTCGGGGGCCGGAGCTGAGCGCAGGATGCTCCTCTCCGATCCAACACGGGGGGCTGGAATTGCTCCAGGGTGGGCAGCAGGACGCGGATGTCAAGGTCGAAGTGGAGCCCTGGGGGTCAGCGCTGCTCTGGGCTGGGAGCAGCTCCGTGTGTCCCTGTGCTGGCTCCAGGCGGCTCCCAGAATTCCCGGATCCGGGCACAGCTTGTTCCCGGTGCCCGGAGCTCTGCGCTGAAGAGCAGGGAAAGAACAACCCGGCTCTGGTGTTGCAGGTTGTGTTGGGGTGAACTAGAGAGCTTTTGGAGTTTTTGAGGGAGGAGACGTGCGGGTTCCACCAGGCAGCCTGTTCTGGGTGTGCTGGGAGCAGTCTGGGAGTGCTGGGGTGGGAAATCCCCCTCCTGGGCACGCTGGCACCAGGGCTTGGTGGCTGGGGTGGATCTGCACTGCTGGTGTGGGGTTTATCCAAGTCAGAGACCCCACACCTTGGAAGTTCCTCCCCAAGGCTCCTCTTCTGGAGCTGCTCCACTTCTTACAGCAAGAGAAGCTGTTCCTGAGCTCCTTCCAACCCGGGGCTCTCCCCGAGCCAAAGGGATCCGTGGCTGTTCCAGCTCTCCCCCAGCCTGGAAGCAGACACAGCCTGTAGTCAGAGCTCCTCAACTGCCCTGTCTTTGAGCCTCTCATGTCCCTGAGACCAGCTGATGTTTGGATTTGGATGAGCTGGATTACAGAAGAGAGGGTTGGAAGAGAAGCATTTTGATACAAACCCCTGCTGATGGTGATGGACCAGGGCTGGAGCTGGATTTTGGAAGGTCATCCCAGCCCGGGGAGGGCACAGAGATGTCGGCTCCACACCTTCCTCTGCCTGAAGCTGCTGAAATCTGGGAGCAAAACCAGCAGCAGGTGATTTCCAGGACTGTCTGTGTGGCAGGACCAGCTCAACCCGAGTGAGTAATCCCTGAGCAAAACAGAGCCTGAAGTGTGCTCGGGGAAAGAAAGGATTCAGCAAATATTTGGCAAAAGCAGAATTGTTTTATGGGCTGTTTGTTTGCAAACTAAAAATAGGAGCAAGTTACCAGGTCGTGTCTCCTCAGGGTGCTCTAGGAAACGCTGGGCTGGGGTGAGCAGGGGCATAACCAGGTGTTGTCAGCTTGAAAATGTGGTTTTTAAAGATTTTTCTACTACTAGAAGTGGTAAGAAGTCATTCAACTTGGACTTCAGCTGATCAGTGTTTAGCACCAACGCAGTTAATCCCAAGAGAGAAGCAATTTAGGGCGAGACAGTTGGTTTGTTGTGTGTTCTGTAGGGAAAAATCAATCCCTCCAGGTTTTTTTGGAGCGAGAAACACGCCCTGAGAAACATCAAATGGCAGATTTTAACGAGGAGAAAGTTCTCATCTGAACTGATTCATTCTGCTTTTCAACCCCAGGTGGTGGAACAGGGTTGGGAGAGGGGAAACCAAGAATGTTATATATGGAACAATGAGATTTGTGTGCTTTTAGGCAGCTCCTGGTTTAGTCCCAGGACATGGTGACAACTGCCAGGAGGTGAAGGAGGTCTCACCACGATGCTGCATCTCCCTCCTGCTCACACAGAGCCTTCCCTGGGGGTGTTATTTCAGAGCTGCTCTTCCAGGTCACACCAACTTTCACACCATCTCCCTCCCCTTCCAGCAGCAAAACCCTCAGCTCTGCCTGCTGGATCCATGAAAACACCAGGAATGTGGCCCCTGGGCTGTATTATGGGAAGCAACAGGTGATGAACACCCAAAAGGGCAAATTTACTGAAGGACCAAGAGAATTTTCTTTGCTTTATTACAGCAAATTATTACAGCAAATTACTCCACTGACAAATCCATGGGGTGGGAAGATCTTGACTCCTAAAATGAGGTTTCTTTCTGGGTTGGGAAAACCCTACAAAGTTGTGTTGCCAGCACATAATTCTTGGAGAAATATCCAGCTGCTTTTCTTCCCATTACACCTTAGAATGCCTGTTTTCAAAGCCTGTCCCTCTGGGTTCCCATTTTGGCTGTTATTCCTGGTCCTCCTGCACCTGGAAGCAGCAATTTGCCATCCTGTTGTTGTAATTCCATTCACAGCAATTACGGCCGGTGCTGCATAAGAGAGTTATGATTCCAGCAGTAAATAGGCAGCGAGATCAAATCTTGACTCATAAAATTAGGTTTCTTTCTGTAATTCCTGCTTGATCCCAGCTCCACTCTCATGCAATGCACTCCAGAGGGTTGTTTTTGCTTTGCTATTGCAACCACAGCCAGGCAGGATTTCAGCCTTCATCTGGCTGGGCATTTTTAAGGTTTGTTCTTCCTTAGGCTGTGATGGTTTTCAGTCACTGATGGGCTCTGTGATGTTGGATCCTCACTCTGTTGCCCGGCAAAATTACATGTATTCAGGATACCTGCTAGAGAAGTTTTCACTAATTTCTGAGCAGGATGGGCTGTCTATAATCCCTCTTTTCTTTCTCCCCTCATTATGGCAGGGACATGGACAGTCAGATATGTTCAGCTGTAGTGGATGCTGATTTTTTTTGGCCCTGCCAAAGGAGAATTTGGAATGATATCATTGGTTACTCTGGGTCTGTGTTCTTATCTCCTTTCTGTTTTGTGTGCTTTAAGCAGAAAGCCCATAATTTATGGACTGTACCAGTGGGGTGGCTCAGAGATCAAACACCAAAGGGAAAAAAATCTGGCTGAGAACAAGTGCCCTGGAGGGGATGTGTTTTATTAATCCACTAATTAAGAACACCCAAACAAGGCTATCAGGTATCAGTCAGCATGTCTTAATTATGTTTAGTCATCCTTTGGGGAGGTTCATGGCCATTGACTGCTGGAGTGACAATGTGAGCCCAGGCAGAATGGGGGAAGCTGTGAGATGGACAGAGGGACAAATCCTCTGTGCTCACCCAAAACAGCCAGAAAAACATCATCTGCAGCTGTCCAGGTTTTCTTTTGTTGTTGCCATATCATAAAAATACCCCAAAATACCAGTGGCTACAAGGGAGGGAGGTTTCCATGGCTGAGTGGATAAAACAAGGAATGGACACCCGAGGTCTGGGCTCAGTTTTCATACCTGGATGACTTTAAGCACATCACATCCTCACATGGGAACCTTCAGGTGATGGAAACTCCCTCCTGGTGCTGCCAGCCTGCAGGTTGGCACCGTATGAACACTTGAGATTTTGCATCAGAGCCTTAGCAAATGGATTTGCCCCTCAGCAAATGTGTTGTCCCATCCCTGGAAGTGTCCAAGGCCAGGTTGGACGGGGCTTGGAGCAACCTGGGCCAGTGGAAGGCGTCCCTGCCCATGGCAGGAGGTGGGACTGGATGTTCTTTAAGGTCCCTTCCAACCCAAACTATTCCAGGATTCTGTGATTTCCTTCTCAGTGCTCTCGGTATGACAATGAATATTGTGAAATTCATCACGTTTTAATTTTAATTCAATTAAGAGTGAAGGTTGATGTTCACATAGAACTAAGAGAAGAGCCCCAAAATACTGCAGTGACGAAGTGCTGAAGTGTCACTGACCCCTGGGGACAGCACAGCAGCAGGAGGAGACGTCACAGCTGCTGCTGGAGGAGGCTGGAAACTGTCCCTCTCCGTGGAAGACACACAAAGCCCTTCCAGGAAAACCTTTGGGTGCATCAGGAATGCCAGGCATGGATGGCTGGAAGAGCCCTTTGTGCTGTAGATTTTCTTCAGGGTGAGAAGAAATCTGAGAGTGTTCAACTAAAGGAGCTCCTTGTCCTGCTCCTCCAAGGCCTCAACTCCAAAAGCAGTGGAAGGAGCACCAGGCTGGAACTTCCTGGGTCATTTCCACAGTCACCTATTCCAAGGAGGTGACTTTAGAGGAAAGATGTCCTTCCTCATTTCTGAGAGCCCCAGGATGAGCCACACATGACTGCACCTCCTGACCTGCCCCTGCTGAGCTCCAGTTCTTTTTACATCCCCCTATTTTTGGAGTCCCAGCACAAAAACTTGGCTTTTTTTTTTTTGGCCCAGACTGGTGATGCTGAGCTTGTCTGCCCTGCTGAGGAGAGCTGCTTTCCCAGGCTCAGCACCAAACTCAGCCCCAAAGTTTCAGCTGAAAATAAGAGTTTATAAACACCGACTGTCCCATCCCACCACCCTTTTCCTTTGTATTCTGCCCTTCAAACATCCCAGCTGGGTCACACAGAGAGAAAATGGGATCTTCCCAAACCCCCAGAGCACAGGAGGAGTGTGGGGCTGCTGTGGCTTCTCCCAGATTCCCCCCCCACGAAGAAACTGAGATTTAACACAATATTTTAAGCTGAGACTTAACACAATATTTTAAACTGAGATTTAACACAATATTTTAAACTGAGACTTAACACAATATTTTAAACTGAGATTTAACACAATATTTTAAACTGAGATTTAACACAATATTTTAAGCTGAGGGTCAGGACAGCATTTAAAACTCCACTTTTTAGACAGAGCTGGGCTTTGCCTTTTTTTATCTGAGGACTAACCCAGTCCTATTTCATTTATAAGGGGTATGGTCTGGCTGAGCTCTCCCTACAGGGATTGCAGGGATGCTCCCACTGTGCCTGTGGCTGCAACACCTGAACCCAAACACCCAAACAAAGTGTTCAGAACCTTCAAATCATCTCCACCTCCAAGCCAGCATTTGTAAGAACGCTGTAGATGGTTCACATATTTCCTTCATGACCGAAATTAGGAAACTGGCTTTAGAATAATCACCTAAAAAATTAGAACAATAACCCCCAAATTCAGCTTCTCTCATGACTGCCCTAAAGCAAACCCTGAAAAAAAAACCTCCCAACCATTTACAGCTTTAAAATGGTCCTTTTCATCTCTGGCTTGGATTTGGGGGGGGGGTAAGATGATGTGGAGCTCTTCCTGCCATCCCAGCCCCCCCTGGATCCCTGATTTCCCTGCTCCATCTCCTCCCAGCCATGGAGTGACATGTGAGACACCTACTCCCCATCTGCACGTTTCCAAATCAGAGCAGCAGATCTGTGATTACAACTGGGAGCTGGAGGGACTTCTCCTCTTCCCCCACTGCAGTTTTTCTCACCCCAAGAGAAAGCCCAGCAACAGCCGTGGAGGTGGGTTTGGATTCCTCCTGGAGACAAGGAGGTTTTCGTGCTGCAGTGATGCACAATTTGCTTGGGCTCGAAAGGCATGAATGCAGAGTGGGCTGGGTGTTTGGGAATCCATCTTCCTGCCCCCGGATTATCATGGAAATGTGACCATCAGGTGATGGCAACAAAGGTTGCTGAGCACAACCTGCTTGAGCACCTTCACCAAGGTTCATTGTGAGACTCAGGAGAGACCTCGTGTTTTGAATCTGCAACTTTTTTAGAGCAAATGCTTTCAAGTTTCTCTGGAGAAATGCTTTATAAACACCTACTTGGACAAAAATATGAAAAAATATTCCTGTGAATCAAGCCCAGCAGAGAAACAGGGCGTTGGAAATTCTCAGCCTCTTGCAGAATGTCTATTAAAACCTCTCCTGCCACCCCCTCTGCTCAGCTGTGCCCTGCAGTGCCCACTGCAGCTTGGATTTCTGGCAGAATGAAGGTGTTTCTCGGCCACAAAGTACAGTTCAGGTGAGAGGAGAGGGATTGGAAACACTGAGAGAAGAACAGTCTTAAGAGGTGGAAAAGGAGGGGGTTGTTCCTCTCCATTCCAGCCTGTCTGTGCCTCATCCTGATCCACGGAGAAGGGAGCTCAGCCATGGCCCTTCCCACCTTGGAGCTCACGGGCTTTTTCCCTGGGGTTTTGTCATTGTCATGGAGGGTTTAGTTCCCCAATTCCACACTGCTGGTGCTCCCTGGGGGTTCTCCAGTGGCTCTGCCAGGCAATAAGTGGCATTTGAATCCATCAGACTGATGTTTCCATGCAAACAGGGAGACTTGGGAAACATCCGAGCAGAGCTTCTGATCCCAAGAGCTGGGAAGTGCCTTTGGCTCTGGGCTGTGCAGGAGTGAGGTGGGGTGGAGTCATCCCTGAGCCCCCCCAGGTCACCTCAGTGACAGCAGAACTGCCCCAAATGGGACTTTAAAGCTCTCAGAAGCAATGCAGGGCTCTGCTCTCAGCCTGATCCGTGTGTGCTCCTCAGAGCCCTTCCGAATTCTGCTCCAACAATTCCTCCATCAGATTTTAGACAGAAAATTAAGGGTAAAGGTGGCCTTGTGGACTTCACAGAATCATGGAATGGTTTGGGTGGAAAAGAACCTTAAAGCTCATCCAGTCCCACCCCCTGCCCATGGGCAGGGACACCTTCCACTAGCCCAGGTTGCTCCAATCTGGCCTTGGACACTTGCAGGGATGGGGCAGCCACAGCTTCTCTGGGCAACCTGTGCCAGGGCCTCCCCACCTTCACAGGGAAGAATTCTTTCCCCATGTCTAAACTAAACCTATCCCCTTTCAGTTTAAAGCCAGTATTCCTCGTCCTATCACCCCATGACCTTGCTAAAAGACCCTCTCCTTTTTCCAGGCTGGGAAGTGTTGGCATTATCAGCCCAGCTCCTGGATATCCCAGAAGAGGCCATTGGCTCACAGAGAGTGAGACACTCAAATGGGGAAGGTTTTTTGCAAAACCTCCTGTTTCTTATCAGCAGAGGAAGGACTGGCCTTGTTACAGCGGGTTTTGGACCCAAACAACCACATGCCAGGGCATTCCAACTCCTTCTGCCTCAGGCGGGGAAGCGTGATGGCCTCACCCTCTCCCCTCTCACCCGTGTTTCCCAGCAGGATTCCTGTTGTTCCCGTGTTACTGTTGTGCAGCCTCCCATCTTTATGGTTCCATCCAGCTCTGCCTGGATCCCGTGAAAATGAAACAGATGCCAGCAGCTCCTGGGATGAGCCCTGAGCTCTCCCACTGTGCAATCCCTTTGTCCAGGTATTGATCTCACATGCTCGCTGCATAATTCCAACACAAATCCTGAACCTGGAGAGAACATTAAATGACGTGTCAAACTGAATGTTCTGTGAATTCACTCCTTCTCTCTTTTTTCTTCCTCTTCAAATTTTCTTTCTAGGAACAAGATGCCCATGAAGTTTAACCTCCTTTAGCCTTAAAAAGTAAAAAGTTATGGATCCTTTGTACTTTCCCAACGCGTTCGGCGCCGAGGGCGGTTCCGGCGGCGGGAATTCCTCCCTGCTGACGAACACGACGGAGAACGGGACCCTCCCGGAGCAGCCCCCCTTCAAGTACGTCCACAAAGTGCTCATCCCCATCTGCTACCTCCTGGTGTGCGCCGTGGGGCTCAGCGGGAACACGCTGGTCATCTACGTGGTGCTGCGTCACGCCAAGATGAAAACCGTCACCAACATCTACATCCTCAACCTGGCCGTGGCCGACGTGCTCTTCATGCTGGGCCTGCCCTTCCTGGCCACCCAGAATGCCATCTCCTACTGGCCCTTTGGCTCCTTCCTCTGCAGGTTGGTCATGACCGTGGACGGCATCAACCAGTTCACGAGCATCTTCTGCCTGACGGTGATGAGCATGGACCGGTACCTGGCCGTGGTTCATCCCATCAAATCCACCAAGTGGAGGCGGCCCAGGGTGGCCAAGCTCATCAGCGTGACCGTGTGGACATTCTCCTTCTTGGTGGTGCTTCCAGTCATCATCTTCTCGGACGTGCAGGAGGACTTTCAGACCTGCAACATGAACTGGCCGGAGCCCGTCAGCATCTGGTCGGCGGCTTTCATCGTCTACACCTCGGTCCTGGGCTTCTTTGGGCCTCTGCTGGTGATCTGCCTCTGCTATTTGCTGATTGTCATCAAGGTCAAGTCGTCAGGGGTCCGGGTGGGGTCTACGAGGCGCAGGAGGTCGGAGAGGAAGGTGACCAGGATGGTGGTGATCATCGTGGTGGTCTTCGTGCTCTGCTGGCTCCCCTTTTACACCATGAACATCGTCAACTTGATATTCATCCTGCCAGCAGACCCCGTGCTGGAGGGCTTGTACTTCTTTATGGTGGTGCTGTCCTATGCAAACAGCTGTGCCAACCCCATCCTTTACGGGTTCCTCTCTGACAACTTCAAGCAGAGCTTTCAGAAAGTCCTTTGCCTGCGGAAGGGCAACGGCGTGGAGGACGGGGAGCCCGTGGAACACAGGCAGGAGAACAGCAGCCGCCTGCAGGAGTCCATGCTGACCCAGAGGAACGTGGAGTTCAACGGCCACATGCAGACCAGCAAGGTCTGAGGGCGTGGGTTGGGGCTGCAAAGGGCTGGTGGAGCTGGAGAACTTGGGGGGCCTCGAGGAGAGATGAATCCGTGGCAAAGGTGAAAGGTGGAGACCCACAGGCTCCAGTAAATGTACATAGAAGTGGCTTCACTCCCCTCCCTTCCCCAGCTCGGAGTGGTAGGGGCCGTGCTGGGCTGTGGCCAAGCTCTCGTGGTGACCTGGGTCATGTGGGACCACTTTGGGTCCTCTGGAGATCTCCAGGCTTTGTACTGCCCTAGTGATGCAAAACCACACGAAATCAGTTTTAACCACCTTGTTAAGCTGGGCTTATGGCTGCTCTGCACTGTTGGGAGCAGCTCAAAGCAGAAAACAGCTCAGACAGTGTCTCTGAGATCCATCAAGGGGATCTCTTACAAGAAAAATGCTGTTTCTTAAGAGTTTCATACCCAAAAGGCCCCAGCACTGACCTCAGAGCTGTGCATGAGCCATGGCTGGAACCTGCTGGGTGCTCCTTCTGCATTGGTTTGCTGTCATGAACCCACCTGAGGGATTCATGGTGCCCAGGAATCCTTCAAACACACCAAGAATGAGGAAAAAAACCCCATGATTAGGAAGACCTAAATCCTAAACAGGTCTAAATCCTAAAGGATTCAGTGTATTCATGATGTTCTCACATTCTAACCCAAAGTGCATAGAAAACGTGATGTGACCACTCTGTTGTTCTGTCAGTGCTGATCATTGTGAAGTCCTGGGGAGCTGTCGTGTGTATTTATTGGTTCTGAATGTCAGTCTGGACGTGAATATAAACTGTATTTTCAGAAATTAAAACAAGTTCAACCCCCCTCCTGGCTGTGGTTTAGTTGGCAGGGTGGGGTTTGCTCAAAGGCTGGATCTTGGAGGGCTTTGCCAGCCCTTGAGGACTCTGGGATTCTGTTCCTGCCACACTCACATTCCCCAAACGTGAGAGCACAAGAACTCACCTGATAAAACGAGGGACAACTGCAGGATCCAAATCTCACTCCAAATCCCAGCACAGTCAGGTTGACTCTGATTAATTAAGTCACCCACTATCTATTATTTCAGGAATTATCAGGCTCTTGCAGGCATAAATCAACTTCTTATCAGTCCTTGAGACATGTGGAGTAATTAGTGCAGGCCTTGATGTCCTCCCTGCCAGCTCCATCTGCCTGCAGTGGGTTTGCCATGAGTTCTCCATTGATGGGATTAGAAAAACCCATTTTAGCTCCCAGCTCGTTTGGGAAGTGGCAGTAATTGATAATTAATAATTAATGCTCCCGTGGAGGGAGGGGCCCCGTGGGTGCAGCGCTGGGGACTCGCTCTGCAGAGCACAGGGATGGAGAATTCCAGTTGCTGAGTAAATCTGTGGCATTGTCCACCCCCAGCCTGATCCTCTGGAGCACCTGAACTCTTTTAAACTAAAAGAGGGAAGATTTAGGTGGAATATTAGGAAGGAATTCTTCCCTGTGAGGGTGGGGAGGCCCTGGCACAGGTTGCCCAGAGAAGCTGTGGCTGCTCCATCCCTGGAAGTGTCCAAGGCCAGGTTGGACGGGGCTTGGAGCAACCTGGGCTGGTGGAAGATGTCCCTGCCCATGGCAGGGGGTGGGATGAGATGAGCTTTAGGGTCCCTTCCAACCCAAACCATTCCATGATTCTGTGAATTTGGGGTTAGACAAAACCACCAGCAGACTCTGAGTGGTTTGAGGACTTGGCAGACCCAAAATGTCCTTCCAGACATTTCATCCCAGGATCAGACCCCCCTTCTAAAAGATATATAATTCTCTCAGGCACATGGTGGGAGTGTCACATTATTGTGGTGGCACCTTGAGTGACACATTATTGGGGTGTCCTGTGCAGGGCCAGGAGCTGGACTGGATGATCCTTGTGGGTCCATTCCAGCTCAGGATATTCCATGATTCTGTGATCTCTCAGCCTGTCAGATCCACAGGGACTTGGTGTTACTTCACCAGATAAAAATAAAAGCCCCTCATTGCAATAAGTCACACACCTGGAGATAAAATAATATAATGAGGAGCAGATGGAAGAATAAATCCCAGAGCCAAAGAAAATAAACCCCCTAGTCTGTGGATCAGGTAAAACACAGAAGAACACTCACAGAACTCGAGTAAAAATTGGCAGAGTTGAAGCGCCAGAGATTCTGGATAATCTCTTATTTGCTCTTCAGGGAAAAAGCAAATATTTATTTCAATCCTCTCTGAGCACGGGAGAGCTGGAGAGGTGAGATGAGTGAGGAGCCAGGGGTTTATGGTTCTGTCACCTTCATCTGGAGCAGCATCAGGAGACATCTGTGTAAAAATGACCTGGGGCATCAGGGATCCCCTGTTTTCCTTTCCATGGTGATTTTAGAATGTGCTGGAAAGGAAAACCAACAGCATTTCACAGCAAGACTTTCACAAACATTGAAGCTGTGTTAGCAGGAGCATCGTCTCTTGCCACAGAGGAGATTTTAGTGCAGACTCTGAGGGCTTTGTGTGCTCAGAGAAATGTCTCAGTTCCCTCCTCTGACTCAGAGTCAGGTTGTGTGGAGTCACCACAGGATCATCTCTCGTGGTCTTCAGCTGTGTGCTACTGAGATTTTACCTTCATTTCCTTCTATTGAACCATTTTGGGCCAAGTTTATAAGTTATGAACCGATTGAACCAACCCCCAAACCTTATTTCGTATTTTCTGGGTCCTAAAAAGTCTTTTCTTCCCAAGTAAACTGGCTGTTGTTTATGATGGTGACATGCAGAGCTTGTCCAAGCCTGGGCTGTTCTCAGCTCCCGACTCGGTGCCCAAGTGGCAGAACTGTCCCCTTGGGGACACAGAGGCTTCAGCCCCCCTGGAACATCCACTGGCACATCCCCTCCACCCTGGATCTTACTCCCACACTAAGATTGAACAGAAGTGGAGCCAATCAGTGCTAATTTTGGTGTGCCACCCCCTTTGCAGGCCCTGATGAAGGGTTATCCTTCACTAATCACCTGGATTTTGATGCTCTGACCACCAGTGATGACCAGAAAGACTCAAGGGAAGCTGAAAAGCACAATCCATGTGCTGATCAACCCAAGGATCCTCTTTGCCTTGATTTCAAAGCTTGATAAAGCCCTGAAGATTAACTCCTTGCCAGCAAGAATGACACCAGGAGGCAGAAAACTCGGAAGCCTCTGAATTCCTTCCTAATTCCTCTCTTGATTTACAGCACGACTTGGCTTCTATTAATTTTCCATAAACCCCCAAAGAAACCACTTTAGGCTTGTGTGCAGAGTGTACCCATGAGACTGAAAAGAGCTTTCCATTAGGGTAATGACTGATTTGTTTTCTAATTTCCCAAGAATCACAACTAATTTTATTTCCTGAGCGGGCAGCGGCTCTCGGGCCCCAGGGAACGGGTAAATGTGCCTTTGCAGAAGGAATTCTTGTTTTGCAAACACATTGCACTTAATGAAATCCATTCCCACAGAAACAGGGGCAACTAAAGAGGAAGGGATGACTCCAATCAGTGAGGAAAAGCTTCTGCTCTCGGTGTCAACTTGTGGCCTCACAGATCTTGGCTCAGCTCCTGATTTTAACCTGACAGGTTTGATGTGAGGTGGGCTCTGATTCCCCTCGGTTTTCCACCTCTAAAACCAACCCAGTGCTTCCTTTCCCACACCTGCACAGAGGAGGGATTTTAAAAGTCCCAGCACAAAGTGCATGTTTGGTGCCAGCACCAGAGTTTTATTAAAACCTCACAGGAATAGTCACTTTTTATGAAAAGGAGAAGTCCTGGTGCATCAATTTGGCATCTCTTTGACATAAGTGTCCTTTCCCTAATCCAGGTGGGGGTTTTGCTGGAAAACACAGCCCTAGATGGACAATCAGGTGGCTCTTGTTGACAATGAATCTCCAGAAAAGTGTGCAGCTTGTTGTTACCTTCTCCAAGAGGGACGATTTGGGAGGGAAACTGGGGCTCAGTGGGGCTCTCTTGGGGCAAAGGGGATGAATTGATCTCTCAGAGTGGGTCTTGAGGGAGGATCCAACGTGTTCACAACCCCCCCCCCAATCAGTGGCATGGCCAGGATGGTGCTGCTGAGCCTGGGGAAGGGCTCAGTGCCACCAAGAGCCCCTTTTCCAACACTCCCAGCCCCAGCAATGCTGAGGGGGGTGGAAAATGAGCCAGGGAATTCCTGCCAGGGCTCAGGGGTTGGGGGGGGGGGGGGCAGGCTAGAAACAATATCCTCAATTCATGGCCAAAATGCAGGTGGTTTGTTCACAGTGACAGAAGGGGAGGGATGAAATCTGGGTGAAACCTCGGGAAATCACTCCCTGAAGCACAGGAAGAAGCATTGCAGTATTTAGCATCCAGCAGGGTGTTTGACACCCTGAATGCTGAAATAGGAATAAAACCCAGGCTGCCAGAGCCTGTCTGAGTCCTCCTGCAGCCAGCCTTGCCCCAGTATCTGCTCTGGATCCTTTTGGAGTGGACCTGCCACTCAGGAGCTTTGTCACAGTCAGAGAGTCACATCAGGCACCACAGGAATTTCCAAAGAAGGTGGGATCGCTCCATGTCCTGCTTTTCACCAAGGACCAGCCCGACCCTACCTCTTCTCCCACTCCCCCCGGGTCAGGATTGGGATCAGAGTTGCCAGGAAATGGATGTTCCAGCTGCTGCTGCTGCAATGCATCACATTTAACGAGCCAATTTAGGGAGGCTTTCAACGCTCCAACCGCCAGAGAAAGCAGGCAAATGACCTTTCCAGCAAACAGCTCTCCGAGGAATTCGGTGCCATCACAAACGCCTGGCCCCAGCTCTAGTTGGAGGAGCTCTTTTCCCGGCCTTTTATTTCTGGAAGCAGCTCCACTCCTCGCAGGATCCCCGGATCCCGCTGCCCGTCTCTCCCGGTGCCGTGAAGCCGTCGCCGCCCTGGCTCTTCTCTCATCCCAAAAAAAGGACTTTGCTCAGGTTTGAGCTGAGCCTCCAAAAGCTCAGCTTGCTCTTTCTCCAAAGCTTTCCCACCAAGGGTTTCCCCCAGCAGCTTGGCAGTGGATTCCTGAGGAACCAGCCCCGAGCTGACAGCACCTCTGAAGGCATCCCATCAAAACATGTCATCCTTTGACAAAGCCTGACAAATTCCTGGGAAAATCTGTCCTCCCAGCCAGCCATTCCCAGAAAGCAGCAGACAGAAGTGACACTCCCCAACACTGGTGGTGGTTTGTGTTTTGTTTTTTTTTTAACACGTTTCAAACCCAATCACCAAACCCCAGGGATTGAGTGACATTTTTAATACCTCGACAGACAATTCTTCCAATTAAAATCTCCCTATTCGGCTTTTTTTTCTTGGCCAAGCCTTTGATTCATGAAAGGATTGCAAATGTTACCTCTGGGGCTGCCCTGCTGAACACAAACACCCACATGAAGGTCAAGGAATCCCTGCCCTGGGCCCACCTGAAGGCTGAAAATTGTCTTTGATTATGGTAATTTCTGTTTGAGTCCCCAGTTCTGAATATTCATTGAGATCCATGAAAACCTCTCAATAAAAGGATTTTCAGCTGCTGGAGACCAAAGGGCTTTGCTGAAGTGCTCGTGTGTAGAAGGCAAACAAGCAAGTGCTGGGATACAGGAGCACCTTTGGAAGTGATTCATGATTTATTCCAAGAAAACTGGGGGGAAAAGTCACACGTTCAGTTTGTAAAAGTGGCATTTGCAGAACGCAGCAATTCCAAAGGGCTTCCAGGTGGGGATCTCAGAGGGCTCAGCAGTGGTTAATGTGGCTCACTGGTGGTTTCTGGCCCCCTGGGTTTCAGCAGGGTCATCCTGGAATCCTCTGGCATTGGGATCTTC